AACAATATTAAATTTTTACGAGTTTTGAGTTTTTGGCGAATTTAAAGTCAGAATTTGGCCATGTATGATTTTTTAAATTCGTTTAAAATTCATTTATTTTTCATTTCAGAATTTAATACAAATTAATTCTAGCGTTTTTAATACCAATGATAAAAAACCAAAATAAAGGTTTTTTTGTAAAGAAAAAAAATTTAATCTTAAGAAACAATACTAAATTTTTAAGAGTTTTGAGTTTTTTGGAGAATTTAAGGTCAGAGTTTGGCCATGTATGCTTTTTTTAAATTTGCTTAAAATTCAGTTATTTTTCATTTCAAAATATAATACAAATTAATTCTAGCGTTTTTAATACCAATGACAAAAAACCAAAATAAAGGTTTTTGTGTAAAGAAAAAAATTAAAATATTGAGAAATAATATTAAGTTTTTAAGAATTTTGAGTTTTTTGGTGAATTTAAGGTCAGAATTTGGCCATGTATGAGTTTTTTTTAAATTTGTTTAAAATTCATTTATTTTTCATTGATAATGTTTTTAAATGTTTTGTTTTTCTTTTTTGTAGGAAGCCTAACGTCTCGAAATAATACTTCCAAATTTTATCTAATTAGTTTTTTATATTTTTTCAAACCTCCCAAAGTACTATTTTGTAATTATTTTTTTTGTGCAATTAACTCTTCAAGACCACTATTCTCTCTCCTTGGCTAATATTAATACTTTTCCTCTCTTGACCTTTACTTTTAACCCCCCTTATCTGATTATTTCAACTTTGATATTTTTTTTAATGTGGTACAAAAAATGATTGGCTTTTTTGAATGGGGGAAAAAAATGGGGAGAATGGTCCAAATCCGGCCCTGGATGAGGCGCTAATTTGTTTACAAGGTAAATAAGTCCAGAAAAATATTTATTATGGTCATATAACTACTACTATTATTATTAACGATTTCACGGTCATGGTTGTCAAATTACACGCGAAATTTCTTCGCTTTTTGTGTCAAACCGGAAACTGTGATTGAAATTCGGTACCATTAAAAAATAATCAAGTCGTCCGATCTGTGTGATTTTTGACAGACAGATGCACACTTCATGTCTGTCAGATAATTTTTGAAAACTGTCAAAATTTCGTGAGTGCCTTTAGAAATGGAAGAAACGCCCGAAGAGAGAATTGCGAAGATCGAGAGATGTCAAGCCAAGTTGGCGGCGGCGAAGGCGGGCTTGCAGGCGAGACAAGGGGGGCCGCCGCCGGGGACCATACCGTATGTCTTTTCATTTTATTTTTTGAGAAAATGGCGTTTTTTCAAAAAAAATGGAACCAAATTTTTTTATTTTTTGACGACTAGGTAGCTATTAAAAAATTATAAATTCATAAATTCGAATTTTGGATTTTTTAATAAAGCTTGAAAAAATTTTGAAATTATGAAATTATCTGAGAAGGGGAAAAGGTACTAAAAATGTAGAAGTTGTGTGATTTAATTAAAAAAATTACAAATCATTAATTCGAATTTTGGATGTTTTCATAAAGCATGAAAAAATTTTGAAATTATGAAATTATCTGAGAAGGGGAAAAGGTACTGAAAATGTAGAAGTTGTGTGATTTTGGTATCTTTTATTTTATTCTTTTAGGCATGTTTTTGAAAATGAAATTTTTGAAAACTTTTGGGACTTTTTTGAGAAAAAATTAACACGTTTTTGAAATCAACAAAAAAATCACTAGATCGAACAATGTATAACACTCCATTTAGACAAAAGTTATTTCAACATAAATTATGTAATATTTTTAAAAATATTTTTTTTCCATCAAACATGTAGAAAAGGTAGTTTTTGGGGCCTTTTTTACCAAAATTGGTTTTGTTCGATATACATTTTTCACATTTAAGAGTTTATTTTTTAAACAGAAAAACACAAAATTTTGGAAAAATGAAAAGTTTTAAATTAACGTTTTTCAAAAGTGTAATATCTAAAATTTTTGACAATGTACAAAAGCAGTACACAAATTGATGAAGTAGGGTAAAATAGAATCACTATTTATTGGTACATCCGGTATACCGAATAATTATTATACACAGACTTAATCACAGACCAACAATTCCATTTTTTATTCCTACCAGGGCCATTTTTTTCCATAAAATCAACAAATTATTTAGGAAAACACTTCAGTTTTCGCGTAGTCGGTACTCAAGTGCAACAAAAAAAATGTGTTTTCTTATTGGAGACAAATGATAATTTTTTTACTCAAGTTGAGCTTACATAATCCACAAGAAATGACGTTTAAAGCGGAGTTAATAGCTTTAAAAATTTTTTTTGGTACCTACCATGTCTTTGTTCGGTACTTAACCGGATCAATCCGATTCGAACCTCGCTTAATCTTGCCCACGTTGGTACCAAATCCCAAAACCACTCACCGAAAAAAAATTCGAAAAATGACACTTGAACACAAAAACTCGGTACCAAACGAACCAGACGGTAGCGCGACAGTACCGCGAGTGAATCGCTTGAATTCACGGTCTCACCTGTCGGTACTGACCTACAGTGTGTTTTTTAAAGTCGGTCATCATCCAAACCGTCGTTCGTACGAATCACGAACTTTGGATCTTTTCTCTTCTCTTCTTCGTGTTCTTCAGATAGGAAATTTATGGTACTTTGGACTTTGGACTCATAGAACCATGATTTATTGTCTCGAGGGCACCATCGGTGAAGGACAATGAGGAAAATTGGGAAATTAGGGAAAGTGGGACGAGAGAGAAAAGGAGAGGGCGTTAAGTAGTGCTCTGAGGCACGCCTTAAATTTTGTTGGTTTTTCAACAAAAAACGGATTTTGTTCACTGGATAAAATCGATGAAGGTTGTTTCGGTCGTAAGAGCTATTGTTTTGGACTGATTCAACGAATTTTTTTTTTTTTTGAATGACGGAACTTGTGATTGCGTTTTTTTGGATTTCAATGAAACTATCAAAAAAGGGAATATAAATTTCTGAGAAAGTTTTACATAATATTTCAAGTAGAAAATATTGCAGACATTTTTATTTATTTCTTGTTGCCTATTTGGGTTTTAAGCCTGATTTTAACATACAGGGTGCGCCAGAACTTGCACCCCATTTGAAGGTAAGATACCAAAAACATGAAAAAATTGTTAAAAACGACTATCTATAAAAATTAAAGTTATGAGAGTTTAAATTTTGCACTTTGACTCTATTTATTTCTTTTGGAAAAATAATTTTCCAAGTTTTTTTGCTACAGGCTATTAGAAGAGGAAACAAAGAAGCTGTATCCTAAATTGGAACTCTGTTTAATGTTATCTGTGGCTTTTATTAGCCAAATTTTTGTACCTTTAATAAATAACTATAAAAAAAACATATAACAAGATCATCAATATCATTTTTTAAATTTTAGTACCTTTACTAAATAATTATAAAAAAATACAAGATCATCAATATTAAATAAATAGACATAAAAAAATGTCAAATGTCAAAATTTTTTGATAGATAGAATTTTTTTAAACGTTTTTTCATATTCTTGGTATCTTACTTAAAAATTTTCTCTGGGACACACCCTGTATAACCTGACCTGACTTGACCTGACTAGTCTATAATATGTTAGAGTTTCGTAGCTTTTTAACTATATTAATTCAAAAAAAAGTTAAATTTTGTATAACTTAGGAATTTTTTAGATTTAGAAGTGCAGAAATTGCAATTGAACAAAAAAATTTTTTGATGCATTATCGTATAATTTTTTTCCTTTTCTATACATAATTAACTCTTTTAATAAAAATTTTTGCATCATCTGAGGACCAGCTTTGGAACAATTTAGATGATAACTGGCGGGAAATTTAAATTTGACACAGGAAACTTGTATTTTTTAGTTTTTCTTGTATTTTTTTCTTTTATTTAGCCCAAAATGGGTGGTAACATGTTTTCTAAAATTGGTTTAGGGACTCTAGATCATAAAATTAAAGTACTCTTTGAAAAATACTTACAACGAGTCACGATAATGATAAAAAAATGCAATTGTGAAAAAACAAAATTACAACGTTGATAAAAATCACGTTTGACTTTAAAAAATAATAATTAGATGCGATATTACAACAATATTTTAAATTAAACAATGGCATTATTTATTTACATATCCTTATCTAATCTATTTATTTATTTATTAGTCAGTCTTGTGTATAACAAATGCAAAATTGATAAGTTATTTTTCAAGGGCGTGCAATGAATGCCTCGCGGTCGTAAAAATCCCGTCCGAAACCAATTTGAAAATTCCGTTCCTTGCAGGATTCTCTCCGTGGCCAGCTTTGACCCGGAACCAGGACTAGATTTTTACGAAACACCACCAAAAGCCCAACAACCAAGGAGGAGTTTTAGATTCGCGAAAAACAGGTATTTTTCGAAAGGCATTCTTTGTACGTCCATTCCACGAATATTCATAATTCTAATTATGTTATCTAAGAGAAGAAAAAAAAAATACAAAACGTGAGCTGACGTCAATTGCAATTACTTTGATGCAAATAGATTTGTGGCAAAATGAAATCCCTAAATTTTTCGATTTCGAGCCTTGTGAAGTTTTCCCCCAACCTAGATTTCATTTAAAAATGTATCAATGCCTAGGTTAATAATGATGATAATGATGGTTGGTTGCCCTTCAAGTGCGAGACATCAATCGAAGAAAATGAAAGGTTTGGATATTTTTATTGCCTTGTCATAATTGTCATAAATAATTTTTTGTTATTAAATTACCGTTACATTCAATAGACAACGTACCCGTAAAAATGCTACAAGTAATTAACATACTAATGATACAATAACAAAAAAACACTATTTTAAAAACAAAACTGTTAACTTTGTTATTTGTAATTAAAATAATTTGGGAAACAATCACAATTACCGTTGATTAAGTTGTAATTTTAACAATGTAAACTAATTAAACATTTATAAATAAGTGAATTAACACAAATCAGCGTTGGCGCCGATTTCAGTAGCGTCATCGCGTGTTTATTGTCCATACTAGCGCACTTCCAATTACAGTTTCCTGTAACAAAACTGCTATTTTCGTAATATTGCATCAGATACTCTAATGTAGACTTTATAGCACCGTACTGTAAAAGCTAAAGTCCGTACGTGATCCCAGACTTGTAAAAATTCCCTCACGTCGTTACATCACTCTCGCTTTGCCTCGTGCTATAAAAGAAAACGACGTGTCTCGTCGTGACGTTATCGACGTACTTTTCGACTCGTAGACGACCTTTATCGTCCTCTGTGTGAATTTTTCAGTTACACCCCGACGTTGTTAGTGACAACATTTATCGACAATTTGTTTATCAGTGAGTATATTGCTACTTTTACTTGTTTTTTTCCAAAAATACTTGATTTGTGAATAGCGGACTCGAGTAGGTTTTGGTAGATTCTCATTTTTTCTCTATTGGGGCTGATTTTGTTTTATTTTTTTACATAAATAGGGGGGTTTTTGAAGAGTGGAGTATTTTGAGTTTAGTTTAATTTTTTTTTAAGTCATTTTCGTCCGAGTTTTTAAAAAACTCGCAGATTTCTGCAAGAGGTCACAGTCAATGACATATCGTTTAAATTCACACATATCGCATCTTAATCAAGATAAAAATTACAATTTTAATTGATAATAATCTAGAAATATGAGTCATAAATTTCTTGAATTTTTTTAGGTAAATAAATTTTTGGCGAATCTAAATTGGGGTCAAAGTCAATGACACCGCATTTACTTGCTTTTTAATACTTCTATTTTTTTGCATAATTATCAACAATTATAAGTAGAAAATAACAATTTTTATCAATATTAAAAGGTCTCTTTTGTTTTTTAATATTGCCTTTATCTAAGTTTATTATTATCTTTTATCGCTTTATTTTTCCCGAGCATTTGTTTTTCCCAATCAGAGGGACGAGCCTCCTAAGATCCAAGTCCAAAGTGTAGAGATAAAAACCGGAATAACATTGATTGTGGTTTATTTTAGTCTTTAGAGTCAAAGCTAATAGAGTGATTTAAAAATAATTTAAAGAAATTAAGGTGATTTTTTGACATTCTGTACATTTTTTCAGTATGTGTCTCTGTTTCCTGCTTTTACACTGGTACTATAAATACTTGCATTTTTTTCTTACAAAAAATGTGAAAGTGTATTTATAAATAAATTAATACTTTACGTTATACAGGCTAAAAAACGCCCCAAACCGTAACTTTTTTCCATGAAGTATTGTCATATCTTTAAAAATAATGGTGTTATGACTTGGGGCGTTTTTTATAATCCAGCCTGTATAAAAAATTTTGTCTCCATTAAACAATATTTTTTAAATAATTTCAAATTGAATTTCGGTGCAAAAAATTACAAAAACTTATTTTGCTTTGAATTGAAATTTCATCAAAGTTTTTTAATTATTATTTTTATATCAATTGGGTCGTTTTGAAATAAAGAAAAATTAAATACATACAGGGTGCGCCAGAACTCGCGCCCCAAAGAAAAATGCCATGTAGGCTAAGATACCAGAAATATGGAAAAAATTTAAAAAAATTCTATCTATAAAAATTTTGAGAGTTAAAGTTTTGAGAATTTAAATTTTGCACTATGACTTTATTTATTTTTGTTGGAAAAGTAATTTTCCAAGTTTTTTTGCTACAGGCTCCTAGAATAGGAAACAAGGAATCTGTATTCTAAATTGTAACTCTGTTTAATGTTATTTGTGGCTTTTATTGGCAAAATTTTTGTACTTTTACTAAATAATTGTAAAAAAAACATATACAATATCATCATTGTCATTAAATAGACATAAAAAAATGTCAAAATTTTTTGACAAATAGAATTTTTTTCATGTTCCTGGTATCTTATCTTACTTGAAATTTTCCTTTGGGGCGCGAGTTCTGACGCACCCTGTATAGAAGATCATCAGTATCATTAAATAGACATAAAAAATGTCAAAATTCAAAAAATTAATGTCAAAATTTTTTGACAGAATTTTTTTAACATGTTCCTGGTATCTTATTTTACTTGCACACGCTGTATAGTTTATTAAAAAATATGATTTGTAGTAGGTATTTATTTTCATTATGTACAGAGTTATTATTATTGTTATTAGAATAAAACTGGAAAGGATTTTGTTTTAAATTCAAAAGCAAAAGAAATTTTTTGTTAATAATTGCACTTTATTGTATAACTGGTTGCATAATTACAATTTTTAAACGCAATTAATTTTGTTATAAATCCGGTTTTATCAGATGAGCTATTGCATAAAATCGATGCTATTACATGTCCTTTAATCACACAAACAGCAATTAAAGAAAATTACATCCGTCACGTGTAGTTTGATAAAAATATACCACAGCATCTCATCATCATCATCATTGAAAATTTTCCTTGACATTGAAGTCTCCTTGACATTGTCAAAATGCCTTCTTTAACATTCTGTCTCGATTTCAAGTTGTCTCCTTTATCTCGCTCTTTACATAATAAAATGCTTGTTTTTATAGAAGCGATAAAGTTTTCAAAATGGCCACCCATTTCAACTACCCCGATCCCGCCCTCCAGGACGAACTCCGTAAAATCGCAAATGCGATCGTGGCCCCCGGAAAGGGGATCCTCGCCGCTGATGAATCTGTGGGTACGATGGGAAAGCGTTTAGCCGACATTGGCTTGGAAAATACTGAAGAAAATCGAAGGAAATACCGCCAATTGCTTTTCACAACCGATAAAACAATCGGTGATTACATTTCCGGTGTAATCCTCTTCCATGAGACTCTCTACCAAAAAGCCGACGATGGTACCCCATTCCCCGAACTACTGAAACAAAGAGGGATTATTCCCGGGATTAAAGTGGACACAGGAGTAGTCCCATTGTTCGGCTCCCAGGACGAGTGCACAACTCAAGGATTAGACGATTTGGGCAAACGTTGTGCCCAATACAAGAAAGATGGCTGCCATTTTGCAAAATGGCGGTGCGTCCTCAAGATCAAGGACCACACTCCTAGCTATCAAGCGTGTCTTGAAAACGCCAATGTCCTTGCGAGATATGCCTCGATTTGTCAGGAGAACCGCATTGTCCCCATTGTGGAGCCCGAGATCCTCCCCGACGGCACCCACGACCTCGAACGCTGCCAAAAAGTCACCGAGACGGTCCTGGCGTTCGTCTACAAGGCCCTCAACGACCACAACGTCTTCCTCGAGGGGACCCTCCTCAAACCGAACATGGTCACAGGGGGGCAGAGTCACCCTGTTAAGTTTTCACCCGAGCAAATCGGGAAGGCTACCGTGACGGCGCTTTCGCGTACTGTGCCCCCAGCCGTCCCCGGAATCGTCTTCTTGTCAGGGGGGCAGACCGAGGAGGAGGCTACTGTTAATCTCGACGCGATTAATAAGTGAGTAAGGGGTGAGTTTGAGGGTTGTAATGTCGGGGGTAGATTCCAGGGGAAGAAACCGTGGGTTTTGAGCTTCAGTTATGGGAGGGCGCTCCAAGCGTCCGTTTTGAGGGCTTGGGGAGGAAAAGATGCCAACGTACCAGCTGGCCAAAACGAGTTGATGAAGAGGGCAAAGGCGAATAGTGAGGCGTCTTTGGGGAAATATGTAGCGGGGAGTGTGCAAGGACAAGCCGCCGATCAAGGGTTGTTTGTTAAGAATCATGCCTATTAAGGGGTCTCGTTTTATTACATACATTTATATAGAAATAAAAATGGAGTTGTTATTAGATATTGTTGTCGATTTATAATGTCATTTTTTATTTATATCGTGGTTGTAGATTTTAAAGAACTGAAATCATCGCCATCTTCTGATTTTAGCATCATGTAGAGGTTTATTATTTTATGGAAATGTACCACATCGGTGGATATTTTATGTAATATTGTGTACAGTAAAAATTTATAGTAATGCTGAGTTTGACTAGGAAAAACCCGCCCTGTTATACAATCACTCTGTATATTAGAGAAAATATGTAGTGTGGGTTGCATAACTAAGGCTTTTCATTAAGAGAATACTAGTGTAATAAAAGGCGTAAGTTTAGAATTTAGCTCAAATAATAAAGAATGAAAAAGTTAAATAACGCTAGAGCTTCACATATTAATTTAAAAGTACACAACAGTCGAGTAAAATTGTGAGGTTAGAACCACACTTAGACGAATTTTGAATACTAAAGTAGTTTCATATGCCACCCTATGCATTTAAAAACACAGATTACCTATTTTTTACCTACCTTTCAAGCTCATTTATCGCTACTTGCAAATTTTTGTGTGAACACTGTGTATACTAGTTGTGCATCAAAGTAGTCGCTGAAAGGGATCATTTTAAGGTGGCAACCATGCGAAAATTCAAACAATCCTAAACTCAATCTTCCCTAAAAATTATTTTTTCAAATAAGTGTGTACCCCATGTAGCAAAAAAATAGTTAAAATTAACAACGTAATCAACATAGGATAACAAAGATTTTTGTCATTATTGAAGTGATTAAATTTATTTTGAATGACATTAATGACACTTTTTGTGTAAATCGGACTTTAAATTAAAGATTCATTTAGACTTCTACAACCTACTTGATGCACATTAATATGGAAAAGAGTATACCGAGTGTCCCATGCAGGCTTGGATATAGGAAATTAATATGTAAAATTAGTTTTTATTTTTTTCCGGCTGCAGAAGTAACCAAAATCAAAATCTGATTAATGGAGCTTGTAGTGCTTGAAGAGGGCTATCTTAGTGATATTTTTGTCGATTCTGCGGTTAACTCCATTTGGGCGAAAACGACCCTCAAAAAATCAAAATTTGAATTTGCCGGGTTAGCGTTACTAAGAAACTATCAAGTCAAAGGAGAATTTTTTGTCAGAATTTGACTTGATAGTTCGTTTCTTAGTAACGCTAACCCGGCAAATTCTAATTTCGATTTTTCGAGGGCCGTTTTTGCCCAAATGGAGTTAATTGAAAAATCGATAAAAACATCGATAAGATAGCCCTTTTCGAACACTACAAGCTCCATTAATCAGATTTTAATTTCTGTTACTCCTGCAGCCGAAAAAAATAAAATTTAATTTCCTATGTTAATTTCCTATATCCAAACCTGCCTGGGACAGCCGGTATATGAAACGAGTCTGTCTTATGGGTTGCATACCCTTATGGCTTGCATACGTTAAATTATTTGTGTTTTCCTTGAAAATCGTTATAAACACAACATTTCTTTTTAAAGAAACAAATACTTCTATCAAAGTTTGCACAAATTATGCATTTTCAATTTATTTGGGCTTTCTTTGTAAATGACTTCTAGGGATTTTGTTTCGCCTGTGTTGGCACCTCTTTCACCAAAGCTAGTTCCAATACCCATTTAACGGTCTTTTCAAATTTCAATCAAATCCGTGTTTACTTTGTGTTTTTAGTCGTTTAAAATGTGTGTGTGAGTGTGATCCCGTCATGGAAGCGTCCCAGGAGTCAATCAGTTCCCGTCGGGATAAACTCAACAGTCAAATAATCGGCGATCAAAAACTCACCCTTATCAACCGAGAATGTCTCCTCGACGCCCTTCAAGCCCTTTACGACGAGTGCACCATCGATACTTTGCAGAAATACGACAAACAAATAGGCCAGTTTGTGAACAAGTACAAAAATACCATCCAGGAAGTGAAAAAATTGAGGGTGAATGTGACAGATTTCGAGATAAAGGATGTGATAGGAAGGGGGCACTTCGGGGAGGTGCATGTCGTGAAGGAGAAACAAACTGGGGATATTTATGCCATGAAAACGATAAGAAAGTGTGACAGTTTAGAAAAAACCAATTTTGATACCGAGAGAGATATAATGGCTTTTTCGTCCTCACCCTGGATTACAAGTCTCCAGTATGCGTTCCAGGACAGCGTTTATTTGTTCTACGTGATGGAGTACCACCCTGGGGGCGATTTATTTAGTCTTTTGTACCGCCAAGGGGGCACATTGCCCGAAAGCGCCGCCACTTTTTACCTAGCTGAAATTGTCTTAGCCTTGGAAGACTTGCATTCAATGGGGTTTGTCCACCGAGACATCAAACCCGATAATATCCTCCTCGACCGTTGCGGCCACTTGAAATTAGTCGATTTTGGTTCAGCTGCAAAATTAAATCCCCATGGATTTGTCGAGAAGGGGCTCCCGGCTGGCACCCCTGACTACGTCGCCCCCGAAGTCCTCCAATCCCTTGAACGCAACTCAAAATCAAACTACGGTGTTTTGTGCGATTTTTGGTCTTTGGGGGTCCTCGCCTACGAATTAGTAGTCGGGAAGCCCCCTTTTTCGGGGCAGAATACCTCAGTCACCTACTCGCGGATTATCAACCACTCAAATAGTTTAAAATTCCCCAATGATGTACTCCTAACACAGGCCTACACCTCCCTTATTCGGAATCTAGTCACCGATGCGAAAGCCCGCTTGACTTGCCCCCAAATCAAAAACCACCCCCTTTTCAAACACGTGCATTTTGACACATTGCGCGACCAAGTGCCCCCCTATGTGCCCAAAATCACCTCCATGGAGGATACGAGTAATTTCGCCGACGTGGGGGCGAAGAAGTCCACTCCCAGTGTGGAGAATTTCAAGAAGAAGACGCAGTTTTCCGGGAGGAATTTACCCTTCATTGGGTTTACTTTCACCCCAGGGGTGAGTCCCTGCGGGAGGGATTTTGATCGGAACTCCAGAGCCAAAGATGAGATTATTAGGAACATGAGGGATGAGTTGGAGGTGGTCAAGAGGGATTTGATGAAAAAGGAGGATTTTGAGGAGGTCAAGTTGGTGTTGGAGAAGAAAATTTTGGAGAAAAATCAGAAATTGGAAAATATTGAAAGTGTGAGGCAGAAGTTGGAGAGGGATTTGGCCGCGAGCATGGCCGAAAGTACGGTAAGATTTTTTTATTTTTTTTATTGCATTTATTACTCGAGTTTCACATGAAAACGAATCCTTTTTTTAGTTTTCTGATATTTTCTATAAAGCTTTTAATTCATTTTTGTGTACATTTTGTTGTCCAAAACAATTTTAAATAATTTGTGTATTTGTTTTTTACTTTTTTAATTTTTTTTTAATATTTTAAATCTTGTTAACATCATAAATAA